ATTTGCCATTTCCACTCACATGATCGCATGAGGAACCTGGATTTTTTCCAGAAGCTCTCTGAAGTGATAATACAACAGACTACTGAAGTAGAAATGAGTATTCAGATGTTTTCTATTGAGCCAAGCATTAAATGTATAAGCACATGGTAAAACAAAAAATGCTACTTTTCTAATTCATTTTGTTCCTGAAAGTATGTTTCATAAACATTGACTTATAATGGGTTCGTTATAGCTATTTCAAAAATTAGCAGCCGGCGCCGCGGCTCACTAGACTAAACCTCCGCCTTGCAGCGCTGGCACACCGGGTTCCAGTCCCGGTCGGGGCGCCGGATTCTATCCCGGTTGCCCCTCTTCCAGGCCAGCTCTCTGCTGTGGCCAGGGAGTGCAGTGGAGGATGGCCCAAGTGCTTGGGCCCTGCACCCCATGGGAGACCAGGATAAGTACCTGGCTCCTGCCATCGGATCAGTGCGCCATTGGAGGGTGAACCAACAGCAAAAGGAAGACCTTTCTCTTTTTTTCTCTCACTGTCCACTCTGCCTGTCAAAAACAAAAAAAAAAAAAAAAAAACTTACAAGGCAGGCACTGTGGCTCAGCAGGTTAATCAGCCTCTTGGTACATCCACATCCCAAATCAGCTTCCTGATGGCCCAAGTACTTGGGTCCCTGCCATCCATGTGGGAGACCTGGATGGACGCTGAGGCTACTAGCTTTGGCCTAGCTCAGCATTTGGTGAGTGAACAACCTACAGAAAATCTTTAACCCTCCTTCCTCTTATTCCTCCATCCACCCTCTTCACTAACCATCTTTTTTTTCTTGAATTCCAAGTCTAATTGGTACTGGTTAGATGAGAACAGCCTTTATTCAAAGTGAAAACAGACTCAAGCTCCTAAAATTTCATTTCCTGTAGCCGACAATTTCTATTAAGAAAATTTACTCTAAAAATTAACTATGGAAAACAATATTATTTCAAAAAATATTTGCCATTATTTGTAATAGAAATACTGAAAATCATCTAAATATTTCTAGAGGAATAGTAAAAAATTATATTGTTATCTAATGATCTATTTAATAATTAAACTGATTTTCCATGAGACTATGATTACAAAAAACATGTTTATGTCGAGACACTTCATATAAAATACAAAATATAAAGTTATATAAAAATATGATCTTAAAAATAGGAAACCTGAAATGACTAAAACAAAATATACTGAAATACATATTTTAACATTTAATACTATAAAAACACTTAATAATGGCCACTTTCTTGAGTTCTGGAAATTTAGCGATTTTTTTCTCCTTTTAAACTCTTTGGAGGATTATATTGTTTGTAATTAAATTTATTATAAATATTTCAGAAATATGCAAATTACTCTTTTTATTTATTCAACCTTTTGTTTTGATGAAAGACCTACCTAAGTTTAGGTTTCCATTTTTAAGAAGATTTAGAAAAACAGGAACAAAGCAAAGTAATTTTATAAAAGAAGGAAAACATTGTAGAGGCTTGAGAAAAGGAGTATCTTAGCAAAAACCCAAAAGTTAGTGTTACTAATTTATACAGATGAGTACAAAGAGTTACTTCATCATATAGTCATATACAGTATATATACATTAAAACCACAGGAATATAATATCAGACCTTCTCGGTTATTATAAGAATTATGTAAACAAAGTTAAAAACAGCTTCACATTGAAACGGATTAAAATTTAGAAGAGGCTTCTAGGAGTCTAAGAGATCACTATCCATGATGGTTTCTTAAAGACTATTTATGTTAGGCATTGCCTTATTGTGCTGTAAGTTAGGGAGGGAGAGCTCTCCCTACCTGAATCAGGAAGGCATAGTGCTGCATCTTTGTAAAGGGATGGCCTAGGACTGAGCCTGGAGGGTATATGCTCACATTCACTTCTGTTCAGTATCTTCATCTGTAAGGGAGACATTACTAGCATGTAGCTCCACCACAAAATAAGGTATGTTTTGTTTAAGAGAATTAAATTTGGGTAACACATTCGACACACATGTACTCTCACAAACACTAAGACATCTTAAGAGATTAAAGTTAAACCTAGTTATTAATTGAGAGCAATTGACCAAGAAAAGAATCATTGAGGGATGAAATATGAATTTAGCTATTAAGAGAAAATATTTGAAAGTCACTTATTTATTTCAAAGTAAAAGAATGAAATGGTACTTACATCAATAATATTTAAATAAAGTTTTAATGTATGTATTGTACTCATAAATACTACTTGTTAAATCCTATGAAATGTTCATACAGTCAACAGGAACATTAGATTTACCAATACAATTTTAACCTTTGACAAAATTGAAATGGAAAATGGGCCGGCGCCGTGGCTCAATAGGCTAATCCTCCACCTTGCAGCGCCGGCACACTGGGTTCTAGTCCCTGTCGGGGCGCTGGATTCTGTCCCGGTTGCCCCTCTTCCAGGCCAGCTCTCTGCTGTGGCCTGGGAGTACAGTGGAGGATGGCCCAAGTGCTTGAGCCCTGCACCCGCATGGGAGACCAGGAGAAGCACCTGGCTCCTGCCTTCGGATCAGTGCAGTGCGCCGGCTGCAGCGGCCATTGGAGGGTGAACCAACAGCAAAAAGGAAGACCTTTCTCTCTGTCTCTCTCTCTCTCACTGTCCACTCTGCCTGTCAAAAAAAAAAAATAAATAAAAATAAAAAAATAAATGGAAAATGTGAGAAAGGACAAGAATTTTAAGTTAAAATATAGAAATAGATAAAGATATCAGAAGAAAAATTTCAAAACTCAGCCATGGTAGATTATCTTATCATGTTTGTTTTTCTAACCTCACAAATAATTTTACCTCCACAGATAATGCCATAGACACCTTTCTGCTTCATTTTTCTAATTTAAAAAAGTCATTTATTTATTTTATTTTAAAAGTAAAAGAGACAGATCTTTTACTTGCTTGTTCACTCCTCAAATGCCCACAACAGCAGGAGCTGGGCTCTGGAACTTCGTCTGGTCCCCCTGAGTGAGTGGCAGGGACCCAAGTACTTGAATACTGGGGATCTGTTGTATCCCAGGATATACATTACCAGGAAGCTAAAATCAGGAGTGGAGCTGTCACTTGAAACCAGGCACTTCGATATGGATTGTGGGCATCCCTAGCAGCGTATTAACTGTTGTGCCCATCCCACCTTCATGTTTCTTGAGTTCAGTCCGATATACTACCCTCTTATCTTTTCCCTATGCAAAAGGCAATTTAGAAAAGTCACTGCTCAGGGAATTGTGCGGGATGAACCACTAGATGGAAGCTTGCATCTCCCTCTCTCCCTCTCTCCTCCTCTCCCTCTTGTTTTGCCTTTTAAGTGAGAAATAAACATATATTAAAAATATGTTCAGAAGGATCAGAACAGGTTTAAAGGTATAGATAGTTCAGCTCTAACCTTGGGCTCATGAGATGAAGGCATCACTTTATGCTTCTTTTCAGTAACTTGGATTGTTCTGTGTCCAAGTTCTTTGGTAGCTCCTCTACCCATTACAGCAATTTCTGATGGATCTTACTCAAATCCCATGGATCTCACCCTTGAAATACAGCCCAGTGTCTGGAGCCCTGCAGAATTCTCTCATACTGAACATTCATTTAATTTCATAGTTAATACTTCATTAACCAATGAGGTCCATGATTATGCACATTTGCTACATATTCATACTACAGTGGTTATATGTATGTGTGGGCAAGTAAATAAACGTTAAGTGCCTTAAAATATAATCACCCCAATGTCCTACCTACTTTCAGAATGATTATCAAAAATGTTTTCATAAGACTTAAACATGCTGATTGCTGAATTAAAGGAAGATGAAATATTGTGGTAAAACCATTCTTCCTTTAGGAAACCACAAACACCTTGGCAACCATCAAATTCCTTAATGCTCTCATTCTGGTAAATTATAAGCTATGAAAACTGCATAGGTTTTAAAAATTTATTAAATGGAAATGAAGTCATCTTGTTGCCATGCTATAACTTGAGATAATAAAGGTTTTAAAAAAATAAATTCAGTGAAAGCAAAACCTGGCATCTTTGGATGTCAGAGGCTACTTTGACTAAACTCATTTCAAATTGTAACATCAGCAAAGTTAAGCTGGTAAAAGCACAAATAAAAAGCACTTTTAGTTCTATGAAGAAATAGGACTAACTGGCTACACATGCCTCCTACACTGTATATCTTATATGCATGGCTCATCAGTAGTTATTATTAAAGTTGGCAGAAATAATGGACATAGTAACTTGCATTTTTTGACTTATCTATAAGCTCAATTCTTTGGGGTTATCTTCCTAATTGATTCACAGAATAAAATCTAAGAAAACAAATGTAAACACTCAGACATTAAAATGCATCATTACATTTGCCTTTATCTTTTCATATTTATTTTTAGCAATGGTTAAATGAAATGCATAAATTAAAATCTCAATGGAAACAATTTCTATTCTATTTACATTATGGAATTGAGTGACCTCACTGAATAAAAATAAATTATCATATCAATAACACACAAATTTCTCCTCAAAACAATTGGGAAGAGGCCACCAAGTATGAATGCCAGTCAACAGCTAGCTTCACACTACAAGCGTTATCCTCTTAGCCTCAATGGGAGATGTTTATGGAAATTGAATGGAACATCCTTAGTAACCATACCAGAAAGATGGATTCTTGTATCACCTTCATGAAGTTGGCATCATTATAAATAATATTCTTAGTAAACTGTCTCACAAACAGTGAGCTTAAGGGACAGGGATGGTTTGTAATTTATCCAAGACACAAAAACCTTAAAAGTAAAGCCAAAATTCTCTTTCCATTCTATCTTAGTTCGTATGATAGTCTTTATCTAGATCCCAGAAGACTGTACTGCATTCTTCCAATGAGCTTTAATAGACTATACTGTGCTTAACATATGGTGCTCAGCAAAGATTCTTGACCAAATATCTGAAAGGCATATATATTGATTATATTATTATCACTGTTTCCACAGAGCTCACCAAAATGCCTGCTACAGATCAGGTAAGTGAATCAAATAATTGAGAAGATAAAAATTTTTCCTCATTTACAAAACTCTATAAATTTATAGACACTAGCATTCCACATCAAACACTGTAGTCTTTTAAATCTTCACATTGTTCCAATCTGTAGTTAATGTAGAAATTGTGTAGGACAGGAGAAATGTTCTATATTAGAAAATACTACTATCTAACCCAGAGTCTACAAAATTTTAAAGAACAATGTTGTACAAAGAGTATGAAATATTAGTTGCTTACTTTGGTTGCCAATAATGGAGAACTTTAACAATTTATGTTAAATATCAATAAGCAAGAAAACAAACTGGTTCTGTTTCTTTTTTTTTTTTTTTTTTTATCTTTTATTTAATCGATATAAATTTCCAAAGTACGTCTCATGGGTTACAATGGCTTTCCCCCCCCATACCGTCCCTCCCACCCACCACCCTCCCCTTTCCCACTCCTCTCCCCTACATCACATCAAGATTCATTTTCGATTATCTTAGTATACAGAAGATCAGCTTAGTATACCTTAAGTAAGGATTTCAACAGTTTGTTCCCACACAGAAACATAAAGTGAAAAATAATAGATGATTTTTTTTTAAATGATGATGAAATCAGATCAGACCTATTGTCATGTTTAATCCCAGTGAGAGTCAAGTTGGGAATTGATAGTTTCTTTTCTTTTTTTTTTTTTTTTTTTAACAGAAGATCAGTTTAGTGTACATTAAGTAAAGATTTCAACAGTTTGCACCCCCATAGAAACACAAAGTGAAATATACTGTTTGAGTACTCGTTATAGCATTAAGCCTCAGTGTACAGCACATTAAGGACAGAGATCCTACATGAGGAGTAAGTGCACAGTGACTCCTGTTGTTGACTTTACAAATTGACACTCCTGTTTATGGCATCAGTAATCTCCCTATGCACCAGTCATGAGTTTCCAAGGCTATGGAAGCCCCTTGAGTTCTCCGACTCTTATCTTGTTTAGACAAGGTCATAGTCAAAGTGGAGGTTCTCTCCTCCCTTCAGAGAAAGGCACCTCCCTCTTTGAAGACCTGTTCTTTCCACTGGGATCTCACTCACAGAGATCTTTTTGCCAGAGTGTCTTGGCTTTCCATGCCTGAAATACTCTCATGGGCTTTTCAGCCAGATCCGAGTGCCTTTAGGGCTGATTTTGAGGCCAGAGTGCTATTTAGGACATCTGCCATTCTATGAGTCTGCTGAGTATCTCACTTCCCATGTTGGATCACTCTCCCCTTTATTTATTCTATCGGTTAGTGTTAGCAGATACTAGACTTGTTTATGTGCTCCCTTTGACTCTTAGTCCTTTCATTATGATCAATTGTGAACTGAAATTGATCACTTGGAATAGTGAGATGGCATTGGCACATGCCACCTTGATGGGATTGAATTGGAATCCCCTAGTATGTTTCCAACTCTACCAATTGGGGCAAGTCAGCCCGAGCATGCCCCAAATTATACATCTCTTCCCTCTCTTATTCCCACTTTTATGTTTAACAGGGATCACATTTCAGTTAATTTTCAACACTTAAGAATAACTGTGTGATAATTACAGAATTAAACCAGTCATATTAAGTAGAACAGACAAAAAAAAAATACTATGAGGGATAATGTATTAAGTTGTCCATTAGCAGTCAGGGCTATGCTGATCAAGTCACCATTTCTCATAGTGTCCCTTTCACTTCAGGAGGTTTCCTTTTTGGTGTTCAGTCAGTTGTCACCGATCAGGGAGAACATATGGTATTTGTCCCTTTGGGACTGGCTTACTTCACTCAGCATGATGTGTTCCAGATTCCTCCATTTTGTTGCAAATGACTGGATTTCGTTGTTTCTTACTGCGGTATAGTATTCTAAAGAATACATATCCCATAATTTCTTTATCCAGTCTACCATTGATGGGCATTTAGGTTGGTTCCAGGTCTTGGCTATTGTGAATTGTGCTGCAATAAACATTAGGGTGCAGACCGCTTTTTTCTTTATCAATTTAAACTCCTTTGGGTAAATTCCAAGGAGTGGGATGGCTGGGTCGAACGGTAGGGTTATATTCAGGTTTCTGAGGAATCTCCAGACTGATTTCCATAGTGGCTTAACCAGTTTGCATTCCCACCAACAGTGGGTTAGTGTCCCTTTTTCCCCACATCCTCGCCAGCATCTGTTGTGGTTGATTTCTGTATGTGAGCCATTCTAACCGGGGTGAGGTGAAACCTCATTGTGCTTTTGATTTGCATTTCCCTGATTGCTAGTGACCTTGAACATTTTTTCATGTGCCTGTTGGCCATTTGGATTTCCTCTTTTGAAAAATGTCTATTGAAGTCCTTGGCCCATCTCTTAAGTGGGTTGTTGGTTTTGTTTTTGTGGAGTTTCTTGATCTCTTTGTAGATTCTGGTTATTAACCCTTTATCTGTTGCATAGTTTGCAAATATTTTTTCCCATTCTGTCGGTTGTCTCTTCACTCTCCTGACTGTTTCTTTTGCAGTAAAGAAACTTCTCAATTTGATGCAATCCCAATAGTTGATTTTGGCTTTGACTGTCTGTGCCTCCCGGGTCTTTTCCAGAAATTCTTTGCCTGTGCCAATATCTTGAAGGGTTTCTCCAATGTTCTCTAATAACTTAATGGTGTCAGGACGTAGATTTAGGTCTTTAATCCACGTTGAGTGGATTTTTGTGTAAGGTGTAAGGTAGGGGTCTTGCTTCATGCTTCTGCACGTGGAAATCCAGTTTTCCCAGCACCATTTATTGAATAGACTGTCCTTGCTCCAGGAATTAGTTTTAGATCCTTGATCAAATATAAGTTGGCTGTAGATGTTTGGGTTGATTTCTGGTGTTTCAATTCTGTTCCATTGGTCTATCCATCTGTTTCTGTACCAGTACCATGCTGTTTTGATTACAACTGCCCTGTAGTATGTCCTGAAGTCTGGTATTGTGATGCCTCAGGCTTTGTTTTTGTTGTACAAGATTGCTTTAGCTATTCGAGGTCTCTTGTGCCTCCATATGAATTTCAGCATCATTTTTTCTAGATCTGCGAAGAATGTCTTTGGTATCTTGATTGGGATTGCATTGAATCTATAAATTGCTTTTGGGAGAATGGACATTTTGATGATGTTGATTCTTCCAATCCATGAGCATGGAAGATTTTTCCATTTTTTGGTATCCTCTTCTATTTCTTTCTTTAAGGTTTTGTAATTTTCATCGTAGAGATCTTTAACGTCCTTGGTTAAGTTTATTCCAAGGTATTTGATTGTTTTTGTAGCTATTGTGAATGGGATTGATCTTAGCAGTTCTTTCTCAGTCATGGCATTGCTTGTGTATACAAAGGCTGTTGATTTTTGTGCATTGATTTTATATCCTGCCACTTTGCCAAACTCCTCTATGAGTTCCAATAGTCTCTTAGTAGAGTTCTTTGGATCCTCTAAGTACAGAATCATATCGTCTGCAAAGAGGGATAGTTTGACTTCTTCCTTCTTGATTTGTATTCCTTTGATTTCTTTTTCTTGTCTGATGGCTCTGGCTAAAACTTCCAGAACTATGTTAAATAGCAGTGGTGAGAGTGGGCATCCCTGCCTGGTGCCAGATTTCAGTGGAAATGCTTCCAACTTTTCCCCATTCAATAGGATGCTGGCTGTGGGTTTTTTATAAATTGCTTTGATTATATTGAGGAATGTTCCTTCTATACCCAATTTGCTTAGAGTTTTCATCATGAAAGGGTGTTGAATTTTATCAAATGCTTTCTCTGCATCAATTGAGATAATCATATGGTTTTTCTTCTGCAGTCTGTTAATGTGGTGAATCACATTGATTGATCTGCGAATGTTGAACCATCCCTGCATACCAGGGATGAATCCCACTTGGTCTGGGTGGATGATTTTCCTGATGTGTTGTTGTATTCTGTTGGCCAGAATTTTATTGAGGATTTTTGCATCTATGTTCATCAGGGATATTGGTCTGTAATTTTCTTTCAGTGCTGCATCTTTCTCTGGCTTAGGGATTAAGGTGATGCTGGCTTCATAGAAAGAATTTGGGAGGATTCCCTCTTCTTCGATTGTTCTGAATAGTTTGAGAAGAAATGGGATTAGTTCTTCTTTAAATGTCTGGTAGAATTCAGCAGTGAATCCATCTGGTCCTGGGCTTTTCTTTGTTGGGAGGGCCTTTATTACTGTTTCAATTTCTGTTTCAGTTATGGGTCTATTTAGGTTTTCGATGTCTTCATGGTTCAATTTTGGTAGATTGCATGTGTCCAGGAATCTATCCATTTCTGATAGGTTTTCCTGTTTGCTGGCATACAGGTCCTTGTAGTAATTTCTGATGATTCTTTTTATTTCTGTGGTGTCTGTTGTTACGTTTCCTTTTTCATCTCTGATTTTATTGATTTGGGTCTTTTCTCTTCTTTTTTTAGTTAGTTGGGCCAATGGGGTGTCAATTTTGTTTATTTTTTCAAAAACCCAGCTTCTCGCTTGGCTGATTTTTTGTAATGTTTTTTTGGATTCAATCCTGTTAATTTCTTCTCTGGTTTTAATTATTTCTCTTCTCCTACTAGATTTGGGTTTGGTTTGCTGCAGTTTTTCTAGGTCCTTGAGGTGCGCTGAAAGCTCATTTATTTGGTACCTTTCCAATTTCTTGATATAGGCACCTATTGCTATAAATTTGCCTCTCAATATTGCTTTTTCTGTATCCCATAAGTTTTGATATGTTGTGTTGTTGTCTTCATTTACTTCCAGAAAGTTTTTGATTTCTCTTTTGATTTCTTGAATGACCCAGTGTTCATTCAGGAGCATGTTGTTCAGTCTCCATGTGTTTGCATACTTTCTGGGGTTTCCTGAGTTGCTAATTTCCAGCTTCATCCCGCTGTGGTCTGAGAAGCTGCATGGTATGATTCTAATTCTTTTAAATTTGCTGAGACTTGCTTTATGGCCTAGTATGTGATCAATCCTAGAGAAGGTTCCATGCGCTGCTGAGAAGAATGTGAAGTCTGTAGATGTAGGGTTG